GAGTATTAAGACAGTTAGTTCATAATAATATCTGACTTATCAACAGTGTACCCCTACAAGTTCACGTGTGATTCAATTTAGAACCTTCAAGTCTTATAGTGAACACTACTCTTTTAGAACACTGATTCGTACATCAATAATCTATAGTTCTTGTATATATACGAAGAATATTTTTTAAAAATAAGTTCTACACAGGTTCTACAGGTATGAGTCTATTCAGGAGTTCTCTTTCACCTTAGTCAAGTTTATGATCAATATGATAGTATCCATCTTTATTATTGGATGACTTAATTTCATCTAAATATTATTGTCCTTAGTATTATTATGCAACCACCGTAGTATTATAATTATTCATAATTTCATAAATACATGAACTATTTCATTATCACTTCAATCATGTTACTGTTTCTTACTGAATTCATAAACATTACGTAATCTTCGACCGGACATTTGATCTGATTTGCAATTATATCATTATTTCTATTACCCTCTTCTGATTATTCATCTCACAATTTTAATAGACCTATAAACTGTATACATTCCAGTATTACTAACGGTTCTAAATTCATATGCTATAATTTCAAATCGTTGTATCGCCCTTAAGTTTGGCTATCCCCTTGAAACATTTAGATATATAACTGAAAATCTTGGTGTGAATTTATTAAAAAGAATATTCTCCATTGATATATCAGTGAATTATTATTAATCTTAGACAAACCATACAAACATTGAGTTTATTAGGGATTTTTCTTCGTTTCTGGTAAGTAGAAGCTAAACATGTGAAAGACTGTATATGGTTTTATTATGTACCGATCTTTGGTTTTAATGTACTTTTATCTTTTACTTCTTCATTCTGACTACTATCTTTAGATCTGTACAACTCTTCGGAAGATCTTTGATCTTCCATTTTTATCACTCTATTCAATATTTTAATGACAATTTATACAGTAAGCATTCGTAATATGATTAATAATTCCAAGTATACGCTTACCTATAGGTTACTTGATAATAAACAATATAAACTTTATAGTGTGTACTGAACATAATAAAATATGTAAATCATATTTAATCCACTTTTAAGTCTAATGTAGGTTTGAATTATCCCTGATGTAATATATCAACTGAAAAAAATTCCTAGTCATCATCATATTTAGCGTATCTTATTACTAATTGGTTAAAGCTAAACGTAATAACATGTTTATGATTGGTTAACTTAATAAATATTATTGTCTAATGAATATGGGGTGAGAAATCGGTTTATCTATAATATTAATGTTCTTAACGGAAATAAATTTGTATAGTGTAATATCCCCTTGATAAATATATACGTAACGTTATAGCTTCTTATTGGATAATTTATATACCCTAAATGAAAAGCATAGGAATTTGTCAATTCTGAAAAAGAAATGCAAAAATCACTAATTAATATTGATGCCAGTAGAAATAATACTGTCGGTATGTGGTTTTATGAAGAATGTAGGAATTATAAGTTAAACAATAATAATTCCTTAATCTCCACACAACCGTATACTGATGATGATAATAATCATATGTTCATTAGTGACTAGTTTAAGATACAATTGCTTGAGTTTTAGTAAGAAACCATGACAAATGGAGTTCAACTATGTCAAGCATCAGACAGCTATCTACTGCAAGCGATCGAAGATGGTCACATAATATCTTGAATCGTTTGAAGTTAGACACGTACATCCCTGGATGCTGGCTCAGTGATCCAGTGGTTAAGTGTTCGATTCTCTGAGGCGGGGTCATGAAAGCACAATACCGAAAAGTTCCGTTCTAGGACAAAACAGCTATCATGGTTTTCATAGGTGGTCTAGATAAGACCAATTCATGAATTAAACTTAGCTTCCAAACGAGTTGAATATTCATCAATTATCAGAGTGGAGCATAGGTTAAGTCGCTGTAAATCTACATGAAATGCACTCCAAATAATTTGGGAGTGAAAATATGAGAAGATATGTTTTGCAGTTAACTGGCATGAAGTTAATTCTTTTATCGATAACTTTTATACTACAAAATTAGAAAATATCCTTTAAATATCAAATGCAAAAAGCAAAATACTTATTCACAACTGAGTGAATTAACATTTGATTCAAACGGTGGGATTCATTCAAACGATGTTATGGCATATAAAATGAAGCTGTTTAATAAAACTTTAGTGTAAAATAGATGTTTGTTTGGATTCATAAGTCAAGGGAAATTTTGTACGTATTTACCTACTAGGGTCGTAATGTCGTAAAAGTACCTCAACAGTGACCTGATATTCAGAAGTGAGTATCATTTCCTTGAGTTGGAAAAGTTCAAAACAACTCTCGCTATGATTCTCCACACTTTTAAGATTATCATAAATGTAAACACAAGGTGGTTGGTTCATTGAAAGCACAGATGACTTGCACATGAGTGAGTCGTATCCCATTAGATTAACTCATTTATCCATGCTTGGTTGAACATCTGTACATAGGGAGGAGTAGTCGTGATATGCTCGTGACGTTGGACTCTCGTTTAAATGGTTACAATGACGAATAAATTTCACCGGAACAGTTAAAGAAATCGATCGTGTCATTGAATGAGAATTAGTTTGTTTTGAATTTATCAAGAGATTCAATTGTAAAGAGGTTTCTTTTTTAACTAATCATATTATTTACATGCCATAAATTCGATATTTTGTCTTCGTTCTCATTGAAAGATAAAAATGATTTTTCATCTATTTATTTTCTATCCAAACTTTAAACTTCTTGTTATGTAATTAATCTTTTATTATTTGAATAAGAGTAGTGAGTTTGAATAGTGTATGAAGTTCCCAGTAAGAAGATACAACTTACACCATAAACTTCACTATTAAATCAATTGTAAACACACCTCATTCTTACTAGAGGTCAGTCGCTGTCCAGATAGATCAGTGGTAACATCTCTGACTATGAAGCTAGGTGACACGGGATCAAATTCATCAGGGAAAATCAGTTCCCTCAATATTACGGGTACATCATACTGACGAGTGTCAAATAGCACGAAACCTAAGTCCATGATTTCCTATCGACTACCTCCAACTACCATCTTATTTCAACATAGTGCACGTAATGTCAAGTTACCTAGACTAGTGGCCACATTGCAACTTGGTCGATAGAATTCGATCTGCACTAAGAAGGACTTGACATACATGACATTGATCACTATCCAGTGATCGATCATTTGCTAGAAACGAACATCAGAAAATATTTATCTATTAACAGAACTGAAATTTTTAGAGGAAACATGATGTTTTATTAAAAGATGAGGACAATGTTGATGGATTTAATGGAGAAGTTAATATTATAATACTTACTGTTAAATAATATAATTCGATACGGATGAATGACTGGGAAAGGTTTATGTATTTACTGTTTTAATTGAAACCTTCCATGTAACTTATTAACTATAGTTATAGATTTTACAGTTTACGAATAATCGTTATTTAATTTATTCTGTTTTATACTAAAAATGATCCAATTATGCACAAGCTGTGATTTATCACTTATAGTTCAGTGTTCAGTTCTTTAAAACTGACAAATATTATCATATAGAGTAATTCAGATGGCTTTCCTCGTGGTCCGATTCGTCAAGATCGGCATAAGTTGTGTGAGGGCAATCAACGTCAGCATACTTAGTGGGTATAACACGTAAAGTGAAAGTTATTTGTATTTTTGGCGTAATCAGAATAATCATTAGAGAAATCCATAAATTATTGACTCCAGTAAATAAGCGCCTTAAAGTTGAATTGGTAACATAATGCACAACATCTTATCAGACTAAAGAGTATCGCTAAATTGTGTCAAGTTAGTGATGATGTGTTCGATTTTTAGAAGTAAATATTTGATCATTTTCAACGCGAAACTAGTGAAATGAAAAATCATTTAGCTGTAAATCCGTGATATGCTTTGAAGTGAATGACTGGTGCTTCTAGAACTACTGAATTTAGAAATGAATGTTGCTTAATTTATTTTGATATTGGAGCTCCGTATTTACATTGAGTAATTAACTGGTTCTCTATAAAGCACACATAATCAATTCAGCTATGTGTGTGTTCGAGTTCTATTTTCACAATTGTTAAACTTCTGTCATGTGAACCGTCACTATCTTCGGATTTTGTTAGCATAAACTAAGATAGTTGTTTGAAAGAAAGTCATTTTTGTTTTCTTAAACTTCTTATCTTTCCTCTTAATTAAATATCTAACTTTTGAGACTGCATGACATGTCTTTTACAAGTAAAATGCTTGGTTATGCTGTAACTCATACAAATTACATAATACGTTTTATGGACAATTATTATACATACTAACCGTAATAATACTACTCTAATGTGTTGACGACAAGGAATCACAATATTACGAGCCTGACAAGTTTCTGTGATCTAAGACATGTTATATGAGATGTAAATTACAAATAGTTTATGATTAGGTCATGTTATGAAGATCGATTAATAAAAAAATCACTTTCCTGATTTGTTATTTGATCAAACAATATATACTATATAATTATGTGTTATCGTTTATGCATTTAAATGGTGTTTTTTTTAAGTTTACGTTTTACGGGATCTAGCATTTCCAATCATCACAAGGAGACAATAATTCTAAGCTGAACAGTTTGGTTGAAGAATGGAAATGTATTATCTACAATATTCAAATCTATAAAACAATCGAGACTTCGACAAAATAATGGAAACCTTACACAAATAGTTCAGTAGATGTTACTTATAATCATTTGTAAATAAATTATTAGTAATATGAAAATGTGTACTATTTGTATATGGTAGTCTGTGTGTGAACATACCCAAAAAAATTTAGTATCTAGCCCTTTGATTAACGACATTAAATAAGCTTTCTTTCAAATAACTTCTAAAAGGATATACTTCTACGAGATCTTAGTGTAGACTTTACATAGAATTTCATTGAATGAATTTACCAATAATCTGTTCAGTTGAATAGATTAATTAACAACAAAATAATGCATTAATCATTTAATTTAATTATTAACAAATGTGATAATACAGAATAAAATTAACTTTTTGAAAAATATATAAACTACTACAATAATAAAAAGTAGTTAAAAATAAATATTTGAAATAAAAGAAATCTAATATGTATGACTGAAATACTAACATGTAGAGCTGCGCAAAACGATGTATATTGTGTACTATAATATGAAAAGATGATAATTTTGTAAAGCTATTCGAAACTATGAGAGATATGTAATTATGAAATCATTACTTCTTCGTGATGTGTTAGACTGATATTTTTTGGAATGTGTATTTCACTAAAATCGGATACAGTTTCACTGATGAAACTAGAACTATTAGTTCCATCATCTGATAATGTATTATCTAATTCACACACATTTCTTCCTGTATCGTTTTCATTTCTGTCTTCATTCCTGTTACTTTCATCCTCATCATCTTCATCTTCGTCATCATCGTCCTCTTCACTAGCATATAATCCTAATTCTTTTAGTTCTTTAACTGTTATACATTGTGGGGAATCAGCATAGTAGTCATTTTCACCACCTTCAGGTATAGCTAATAATACAGTGGCTGATAATGGAAATCTTTCATATTTTTGATCATTATTATAGTAGTAATAATATTGATAGTCGGAATCCTTTTCAAATAATGATGTAGGTCTAGAATGATTATTTAATGTTTGCTGTGCCAGTTGATTAGGGCATGAAGCCGATTTGGCTGAAAAAAAAACACAAGAAAAAACAACATTTACTAATAGTATTATCATCATGTGAAATAACAGTCTTATAAACAGAAAAATGTGATGCAATAAAAATTAGTTTATTTATAGAACACTTTTCTTATCCAATCTTATAAATGGGTAACTGTTCTCCTCATGACATATTAAAGATAGTCAGGGAAAGTTTTTAGTTCAAGAGGATGATTTCAGTGGTGTCATGTTTTCTGAGTTAGGTGATTTAATCGTAAAGCTTTCATACTTTTTCTGAACAAAATCAACACAATTTTAAGGTATAAATTCGAAAAATTGTTCATTAAAACATGAACAAACCTACTTTGAGAAAGAAAATGTTCAGTAAACATAGGATTAGTGATTATCTAGGATGATCTGTGAAGATTTATACTGTATAAGGATATTTCTGTTTTGTTGCGATTTAAGTGAAGTTGGAGTGTAACTCAGCAGTTTAATAGTGTAAATATTTTTAGGCTTTGGTTTTAATCTAATAAACAACTGTTAGAACGCATTATAGAGAAGTTTTGAAACAGGGTGAAACATCTATCTAATACTTATAGGTGATCAATATTTTCCTGGCTGATGTAAATTATGAAAGAAAAACAGCTAGCATGTACAAAATTTACATAAACGAATAGTTTACTAAAATACCAATGTATTTATTTAACTAAATACTTTATGCGCTCCCAGAAATCGTTTCGAGACGATCAATGTAGATATCAACAGTTCATTATGTTACTGACTGTTGATGTGAGTCGCATTTGGATATTCAAACTACCTTGTTAATAATGGTGTGGTAACATTCATCAGCAGTTGAAGGTCTTAGGCATTAGAGTGTAAATAACTATCTAACTAAGTGTTATTTTATTGAACAAAACATCATAAAAAACGTAGAAAAGAGATTGGTTAGGCATACTAGTTTATTGTAACTGAGAAAATAGACAATATCATTAAAACTAACTAAAAGTTATGAAAACTTAACGAAAATTCCCACTGGTACAGTATTCATAAAGAATTCTTAAATGTGTTATTAACTAAAGATAAACATAAGTTAAAGTTAAGGAATTACTTAGTGGAGTCTCTGTTTCCTCTTCAAAAGAACATTCTTCGTTAGATTGGACAAACAATGCGCTATCGTTTTTCTCATTTGGTACAATAAAAGAATTTTCAGAAATATTCGTAGTAATAGAAGTATTAGTAGTATTAGTATTAACTACTGTTGTTTGTGGTAATAATGGTTTTTTTGTTGATATTCCCTTTACTATTGGCGATGGTAGTGCTTCCGGTATTACTGATTGATTGACATTTACGGATGACTTCATTGTGACTTTTTTAACAAAATCTTCAGTTGGAACATAATTAACCTATAAAAAGTTGTATGTGTATATAAATTGATGTGGTTAATAAACTTAATTATCACTTTTAATTATGCCAAAAAAGACAAATGGTGAAATTCACAAAGGTGAATACATTCTCTGCTTTTTGCTTTGATGATTGATATGACGTTAAAACAATGACGATATCAACGTAACTTTCTTTTGTCATAAAAACTAACTGTGGGATGAAATATTGAAGTTAAATATATTTCAATTCATACGCTTTTATATAAATACTATGAATAAAGTGTGGTTACAGTTTGCTTCAATGTTAAAAGAACTCAGTGATAACACTATATTACAAATTAATTGTAATATAGATTGTGAATGATTACATTCTGACAAGCTAATTGAAATATAACACCCTTCTAGTGAGGCCTGAGGTTAATGAGTTCAATAACTCATCGATAGGTGTACTTAGGATATTAACTGCTAAAGAAGCCCACACCACTGAGCTATCCGAGCTGCTGTAGGACTGGGATGTAATCACAATTGATTGATCACTGGGTGGTATTCAATGTCATGTGTGTCCTGTCCTTATTAGTGGAGATCGAATGCTATAGAAGCTGGGTGACAAGGGATTGAATCCTTCAGGGAGCACCAGTTCCCTCAAAGATTACAGGTACAGCTTGCTGACGAGTGTCAAGTAGCACGAAACCCGGGTCCACAGTTTCCTGTCGAATACCTCCAACCACCATCTAATCTTGCAATAGTGCCCGTAGTGTTGAGTCACTTAGACTGGTGACCAAATTGCAACATGGTCGGTAGCATTCGATCTGCACTAATAAGGACTAGACACGCATGACATTGATCACCACCCCGTGATCAATCAATTGTGAAAATCTCCAAGCATTCAGTATGACTTATAAGTCAGGTGGTCACTGGTTTCAATTCGAATGAGGTCGTGGTTGGGCTTTATGAATAATTTTTAAAAGAAAATATAATAAATGTCAGGTTTTGTAGTCAATGAGATGTCAATTTAGTATGGTTTTTTAAATTAATTAGGAAATTCTCAGCGATTCTTTATAGCTATTCAGAGCAAATTGTTTTCATATCATCTACAGGCTTTTTTTACATTAAGTGGTCTAAAGTCTAAAACGTCAGTTTCATTTTTAGTTTGTATTCATCTATTTTTCTCACAAGGAATTGTTCATCCTCTCTAACCTAACTTTAGCTATTTAGTATCTAACCAAAATAAAGAATCTAAACTATCTCGCATACATTTTTGGTTTACAAATAAGTCTATTAGCTGTCTCTATTTATATCACTGCTCCGTTTTGTTATGGATTTCACAGACATAGTATGAATTTCATTCAGGATACAAACAACTAATAAATTGCTGTAAAGCACTGTACTCAATAACACACAATTATGTCATTCAATCTATCACTCATAAATTTCCGTTATACATATATCAGTTTTTAATCGCGCGAAATAAATCTGGGTCACTAAACGTCCTTAATTATACAATCAGTAACGTATTCTCATGGTTCATAACTTAACCGTTACTGATTAAGGCACAGTATACCATTGTAGCCTAGCCAACGACATTCACCTTCCGTAAAGATTTGGCTTATGTATATAAATTCATACAAAATTACTTTCATCAAAGTAAAACCATACACAAATCATAGTTACCGTTCCGCTGAATGTAACTTGTTTAATTCCACTTTTTTGCTTATGATTATCTTCAGGAGACTTAGCCACATCATTTTCATATTTCTGTTCACGACTTTTCCTGCTCAAATGTAATTAAAACATTCTGATAATAAACAGTAATTAAATCTTAAAACTATTCAAGTGGAAAACATAATTATAAGTTGAGTAGGATTCCGCATGCTGTTGTTTTCTATGAGTAGGCTTCATTACAGCAGCGATATCGAGTAACACCGAAGTGATCCTCAAAGTTATAGTCCCTTTATTAGCCAGTGAGTATTATAAACTGTCATAATCAAAGACTAATCTCTAAAATATGACAGAAACTTCACTGTTATGGCGTTTCTATGTGGTTTATGTGTTTTTCAAGGTTCATAATCAGTTTTCTTTAATCTAGGAAAGACCACTTAATCTACTAGTTCACTCAGTAATTTAAGATGTTAGCATTTCTCTGGGTTCTTTACTAAGTTATAGATGCCCTTATAAAAGGTTTCTCATGGTTTTAACAACATTTATTTGGAGATTTGTAAAAAAAATCTATTAATTAATGTTATGCGACCATACACTGAGTATCACATAACCGAAAATTCCAAACTTCTCAAACAATAATACCATAAAAGAGTGTAGATTACTTTGACTAACATAAATGGTGTGACTTAGTTGAGCACCTAGTCTGAACAAAGAAAAAGGAACTGCCCCTTACTGAATCATGTTATATATATATAATCTGAATCGGAAGCAGTAAGCCTTCTACATAATATCCTATTCTCACCAGGTCATTTATTGTCTTCAATCAATAAACTACTGCTTGCTCTATTATGAGTTCGTCACCATTATTCCATTGGTTTTTACTTGAGTTTTAAATCCAAGGGAATGAAATAATAATTTACATGATTCTCAATGACTGCACCTTCCTTGATCGATTAGAAAAATAATTTGTACTTTAAACGTAATGTTTTACTTATAAGTAGTCAGTAGGTTTTGGATAAAATTACAATAATTTACTCTTAGTTTAATAGTTCACCTATATATTTACATTTCAGATATTTTGCAAAATAAAGATATGAAAGTTTATAATGATGATGATAATGAATGAATTTAAGTAATCATCAGGCTTTACTCTAATATACAGTAATTTTATATGCATATACGAAATTATTTGAAATTGATTGAAATGGGATATCCACAGGGTTTCTTGAAGAAACACTTGCGTATAACAAACAAGAAGATAGTGACACTAACAGCTAATAAGAAACCTCTTTTCTTGAAGCTGCAATTCAATGGTGATGTAGCTAGTGATGTATTACGTGATAGACTGACTAGAGCAGTCAAGAGAACGTTTAATGCTGCCAACCTCTGTCTATCGTATTCGACACAATCTATGGTGATTCCCCAACTGAAGGACAAGTTACCTGGTTATACCACTTCTATGTGTATCTACGACTTCAGCTGCTCCTGCGCAGAAAGCTATATTGGGTGCACTATCAGACAACTGAACCAAAGAGTTAGTGAACACCTCCCTTCGTGGTTAGGAAAAGGTTATGTAACGACACTACGCAGCTCAGTTCTTTCACACTTAATCGATAGTGGTCATGTAGTGGACAGAAACAAGTCATTTAAAGTTATTTATCGTATTCCCACTAGTTTTCCTTATGGTGTTCGATCTCGTCTCTTACACATAGCAGAAGCTATATGAATTCGAGCCAACAAGCCGAGTCTTTGTGTTCAGAAGAAATTTGTAACACGCTTATCTCTCCCTTGGCCTTAATAAATGAATTTATTTATTATTTACTTTTCAAACCTCTTCGTTTATTATTTACGGTTCAATTATCTGAACACTTCTTATTACGTCATATAATTTTTTTATAAATGTTATCTCACTATCTATATTCTTCTAATCATTGACCTATTTCCGATTATGTAACATTGATTTGACCTTTTATTATTATTATTCTTATCATAACTACTACACCTGTCATCACACTATCAATTTGTACTTTTCACATATTGCGTAATAGTTTTATTCATCGTTATCATTGATTTATAAACTACTTTGATTGGTTTAATAATTTCGTATATGCATATAAATATTACTGTCTATTAGAGTAAAGCCTGATGAGGATCTAATCGAAAACAACATTGTTCGCTTATATATGTTGTTCGAAATTTACATTATGGGAATATTTCTAATTTCTTTTCATTTATTTAGCTAAAAGTTTAAATTCAACCCATAGGGATCAAAGTCCCCTAGAGAATACAAAACGAATTTCTATAATTCGAAAATTAATGAATATATTATATAAAAGTAAATAATAAAATTAACATTTCGTTTCTGAATTCTTTGCTAGAAGTAGTTACTCCTTTAAGATAGCTTATATTTATTGGTGAAAAAAAATAATTTTTCATTCAATGAACACCACTGAGATAGTTTATAAATCATGACTAATTACTAAGTAATCATTGATAGCTAACATGTTGATACTGGCTTTGATGTAAAAACTAGTCTACGTTCCCTGTAGATTGGTAACCACGTTTATTTTACTGTGATACACCGATGTTTGTACAGAATAAGTAAGATAGACAGAATGATAATCTACTCAGACAACTAAGAACCGAATCTCAGGCAAATAGATCACATAAGACATAAGAAATGGCTAACCAACTGAGTGCCAATATATATTAAGAATTTAAGCTGATTCTTTGTAAACAGAAAAGTCAGATGGAATAGTTTCACTATATGGAGTTATCTGAGATAGATGATCTAGTTGAGAAATTTTTATTGACTTTCTGAATAACATCATTAGCCCCTACTTGAAGTAGAATTATAATTATGAGTTAATTATCACTTAACATTTAAATGATGAGGGGCTTAATTATAGTTGATCTCAGCTCATTGTATAAAAATGCATCTACTTCATTATTTGAGCATAACACCCTTTTAAATATTAAATAATATAGGTGTTCAGGATAAAACAGATTTCGGAAGTATTTGTGTCAGCACAAAATCTCTCCGTTTGATATTTGTTACGTTGGAGAGTTCGTTGGGATGTTATTAAGCTTTATTGATCAAAATTACTCATTGTTAGTTGGCTAATTTAACGACGAGATATAATAAAAATATTATGATTTCAAATGTTTATAGGTAACAGTCATGAAGGTTGATAACAAGGTTTGTGTTTATCGCTACTCATGACCAAAAAATATTTCCCGACTTCAGAAGGTTTATACTCCAGTATCACTATAAGCGACAATGAGAGACTTTTCTATTTAACACATTTATAAAAGGATCATGTTTACAGATAGGTTATTGAACGGTGAGAAACTCCAGCATTTATTCCTGAAACGGATTTTAGAATTCTGATAATTAAAGTATGCTTCTTCTCTCAGCTCATTAGTTATATTATCTTTTCTCAACTAAAAATTACCATAAATCCTTAAAACTTGAATATATTATTAGTTACCATCAGTAAACCAACTTGAAGTCAAATTAGTTAATATAATCGACGCTCCTACTTTGGATGGCACTAATTGATCAGCTGTTTGTCGATAATTAAACTAATTTAAAGTTTGTAGTGGGTTATTTTCGAAATAATTCTCAAGGCTTTATATATCAGTCGCCCTGATATCCGTCGTTAAATAAATTCCAATGGTGTATAAATTCAGAAGGAAATACGAAGCGCCGACCATAGTTTATCATTGAACAGCACATATCACTAAGCCAAAAGTACACAAACCCAATTCAGGAAGAAGTATTGATGCGAGCGTGCGAATACAGAGGCGATTTAAGAGTCGAATGAATCAATAAGATTTAAGTACATATATATGGGAAAGCGAATGATTGAACGAGCATTTTAAGCAACTGACATTTAAGCTTGGCGAGAGGGATATGAGCTAAGCTGTATCATGTGATCAAGAGTACATGTTCATGAAGACATGATAATAATAATACCAAGATATATAAATTGTTACTGTTCGGATAGCATTGTCTGTTAAATAAGTTAACTGAAGTACATGACAAAACTAAATGTAAATAAGCTCAGGTGTAGGAGAGGTGCCGTAAGTTTAACTGAGATTACGAATCAGTGAACTGTCAATCAGAAGATCTAGCGTACCCATGAAACCTCATTAATTTAAACAAGTTTAAAATTAATACTTGGAAACAAATACTATGTGAATAAATATAATTTACCAACCTTAAAATTGGATTGGTTGTTGAACGTACTCCGTTTGTATAAGTTGTACGTTTTGGTGGATTTAAGCCTGAGGTGAATGTTTTTGACCGAGTTATTTTCGACTGAGAATAAGTCACATCTGTACCATAAAAATCAGTGAATTTAAAAAAAGCAAGAAGAAAACATGAGGAATTTTTAGCTTAATTATTAAAGATATTAGTTTATTACGAAAATTGATTTTGATGGAGCTTTTTTCTCTGAGCTGAGAGGACAAAACTCCATCAAAATCATCCACCTGAGCTAAGAATCTTCTCCACCACCTCAAAAACGATTTCAGACTAAACAATTTTTGCCCTAATATTAACACTTGGTCCACCAGGGTGCTTGGTACCTGTGTGGTTGCGCCACAGGATTGAGATACACTATTCAGATTGTAGCGTTAAAGCCTATACGGTGTCTTGCTCTCCTGTTAAACGAGCTTGGGATGTACTGTTTGGGTTGTTACGTGAAAGTCTGGACGCTGTCTGGTTCTCCTGAAAACCGATGTAAAATTACCCTGGACCACAAGGGTATATTATATAACTGTGAATATTAGCACTACTTATAATAATAACAATGGTCTATTGCGTGGACCGAATGGAGTTGAAAATTTGAAGCATTTGATTCGGACTTGACATTATATATACATTTTATTTCAAAACCTGATAGTCACCGGTTTAATCTCATTTAATTTTTGGGTGAACACTACAATGCAGTTACAAATTCAAATGGAACGGCTACCCTAGTGATTTCTTGTTGTCGATGTTTCTATGACTAATATCAGCTCCTGATTAAAATCATTTTCCTCTAATCGCAAATTATCCACAAACCACCTATTTGAAATAGATCTAACATAATCTCAAATGTAAGTTTTATCAGCTGTTGAATAAAAGCCTTTCTTATAAAGCCCAAAATAGGAACAACTAAGATTCCTTGATTAAAATAAAAGTATCAAAATGAAGTTGAGCTGGAATGGATGGGAATTATTTTACACGTAAGCAAAAACTTTTGTAGCTTCAAAACTTGTATTTTCGACGGCGTTTACGGTAACCAACTGATCACAAATTTCTGACGACACATTTTCATTCTCTGAGAAGACTGTATTTTGATTTTTCAGTAAGTTTTCATTTTGTAGCGTTCTAACTTTGAATACTGAATCTTGAAAATACTTGCCTTAATTTTTGTTTTATTGTCAATCAGTTTAATTAGCTAGTCAAAAAGGAGATAGGAGTTTAAACGAGTTCTTATTCCCTGAATGGTAAGAGGTACTAGAAATTTGACGGAAACTAATGGTCACTCAAAAATTTGAATGTGAATCTCATAAAAACAGGTTTAAATAGATTGACTAACGTTAGCTAACACAAGGACCCAGTCAGAAATACATTGGTTATTATTCATTGAACGCTGTTTTTGCGAAATTTCTGTATTTAACGAGAATTTTACTAATTTCGGATTGGGAATAATGTTAATCACAATATTTAAACACAGTATGAGATTTTTTTATACTACATACATTGAGGATTGTATAATTCATCATAACATTAGGTGTACTTTACATGTCAAAGCATTAAACTGTCCTTGGTCTACTATTCAATTCATGTGGATATTTTGCATAAACTATGATTAATTCTGACTATATAATGAATAATAAAAAGTTTTTTATGTCACGAACCTAGCTGAGTTAGACATCTTTTAAGAGACTAAGCGTTCGCACACTAGACCGAAGTTTTTGTGTTCGTGAATGGTCACCCCAGAGGAGTCTCATACAAGAATGAACTAACAATCCAATGTTTCCTAGTTTTTAATAGGTGTCTAACTTAGATCGGTTCGTGATATCAATCGCATTCAATAAACGTTGAAAGATTATTCTTCACTACAAAACATTAGTTTGATTCAAATAGTTCAAACAAATTTACCGTGTTCAGTAATTCCTGTCTTATTAATTGGACAATTCATTCCAACATATCGTATCAATTGTTGTACAAGTGATTTTGTAATTGTAACAGATTCATTATTTAACTTTTGCTCAGTTTCAATTTGATGGGGAACTAATTGCTTTTCATTGACAGAATCATATCCTTTTTTTGAATCTAATGTTACTGAGTAGAAAAATACTTTGGCATAATTCTTATGATGTTCTGTTATGTTGGACAGTTCTACTTCATAAGGGATCCATGTAAACAATACACTATAAGATAAGCCATGATTAGCTAAATTAGCGAAAAGAAGAGAAAAAACGTTATTACAACGATTAATTCATTTACTTTTATCTCTAAGGTATCCTTCTGGTCGATAGATAACAAGACAAACAAATATATATGATAATTCATCAGTACACATCAAGACCTAACGTTAGCTAGACAACAAAGGCAAATGTTTCACAAATTCATGTTACACATTTCAATGTTTTACTGATAGGTTGAGACAATAGAATATTCTAAGTAATTAGCTTCTTATAAGATACTAAGTTCAGTGAAATTCAAACAATTGAGTAAGAAGAAATTTATTCCAACACTATATATTACTTAACATAAATTTACGAGTAGTATAATAATGTCAAAAGTTTTGACAATTTCAAGCTTATTTTATGACAAATATCAATTACAAAGCAAAATCAGGCAATGTCTTGCAATGTTAAATAGGAATATTACATTACTTAACTACAAATAAATAAATTTGCAAATAGTGATTTTGTTCGAATGTTGTTTGTTTTTCTGAGGTCTTTGTTATATGGTAAGAATGTTAAATCAAATTTCTCTTGCCTGTGGCTGGCCGCATAACAGGCCGCCCTTTAATTCTGAAAATAGTTGACTAGGTGATTCATCTCTTGATTAGCAAATCAGTTACAGCCCGCGGTATATCAAGTCAGCCAGCTTACTTAAGCCTCATTCACTTTCATCGATTGACGATGTAACTGATCACAATCCCTCGACTGGTAGTTGTTCACAATTTGCTAAAAGTGAACGGACATTTACTAACGTAGTTTATAGGACTTTGATTTATATGCTTGTAAGTTATCAATCTAAAGGGATATATACCTTACAAGTAATCAAATTATTGCATTTTCACTATAGTTACTTCTCATGAAAGAGAACAGGATAACCACCAGCATTCTCCATCGAACTCTGTTCTGGGCAATCCTTTCAATTTGCCTCCCATTTATATGCATTCTTTTGATGTCTGCTTCCAATTCCCTACGCAACGTGTTTTTTGGTCTTCCTCTTTTCCTTTCGCCTTCAGGATTCCACGTTAGAGCTTGCCTTGTGATGTAGTTTGATGATATCCCCAATATGTGTCCTATCCACCTCCATCGTGGTTTCCTCATTTCTTCATCAGTTAGAGGTTTGTTTGTTCTCTCCCATAGTAGGCTGTTGCTGATGGTATCCGGTAAACAGATATTGAGTATCCTGAGTAGAAAATTGTTCATAAAAACTTGTACATTTTGATGATGATTGTGGTAGTTCTCGAAGTTCCGGCTCCGTACAGAAGAATTGTCTTGACATTCGTATTGAAGATTGTGACTTTGATGATGGCTTGCAGACAATTATTTTGATTTCCATATGTTGTTCAACTGTAGGAATGTTGCCGTTACTAACCTTGCCAATCAATGCCTTCACATCAGCATCAGATCCTCCTTGTTCATCGATGATACTACCTGAAGTTCATGCTGGGGTTGTCGTTCAGAATAACACTGAATGCTCCACGACAAGACTATTCAGCTCAGAGAACAAAACTCCATCAATACCATCCACCTGAGCCACAAATCTTCTCTACCATCTCAATAGCATTGTATTCCGTCATTCCCCTGGGATGTTGAGGTCTTCATAATCCATTCGACCATCAGAAGAAACTTGTGTGACACCGGTCCACACTTGGAATGTATCTGTGAACTGTCCTCCATGCACAACTTTTCAGTGTAGTTCATCGTATGAATTACGGATGATATTGACTATTTTCTCTGGTGGAGCGTTGTGACGAAGACGGTTTCCCTTTTTCTCTAATGAATAAGAGCTATTCATTTTCCCCCTGTATATTTCATAGGAGTGTTCAAAATTAAACTAAGACTGTGCTTAACTGGAAAAGGTAATCTACAAAAATGACTTAGTTGAAATTATGGATAGACGTTTATCCCTCTAAAACAAAAGCAATACATTAAATTTTTGAATTTCTCAATTCAACAAAATATGAAATACAAAGTAAACAGATCTTTCATGAGAATATCTTGGACAATTTGTAAAACTGACACATTTCATCACCTTGATAACTTACCAACACATCCAGTTGAGATAGGTAATATTTTCAATTTCCCTACTCCAAATTTTTCATATAATAATACATTTCGTTTTAAAAATTCACTATTACAATTTGTTTTCTGTATTGATTGATTATTATTATATAGGGTAAGGTGTAGTTTTTCACTTACAGATGAACTCATTGATCGTGTATGTTGAAATCTTGTCCAAAATTTATTTCCATTACATACTTGTAAAACAGTTACGCCTAATTTCAATGCAATGTGTAACCAGATCATTTCTTTAATTTCATCATTTTTGATCAATGAAGATTTTATTAACTTATGTTGAAGTGAATTGAATTGAATATGTTTCAATTGACATATCGTTGGTAGAATTAAACATGTACACTTTTCAAATATGAATTGTTCACTAGCAATTTCATTGAACAAGCTATTTAATGATAATTGAACAGTTGAATTCCATTGTAATACAATGATGACATCAATTCTGATCTCATTGAAAAAGAGAAATACGCATGAATGAATGGAATGGAAGGATGTAAAAAAAAACAGTTTGAGATATAAAATTTCTATAGAACTACAGGATCATAATGTAAAAACCACTATGTAGATTAGAAACAGAGATGGATGGTGACTAGTAATAGAATCCAGGACTCGTCAGTTGGATGTACCTGCATCCCAGAGTTGATGCTCATGCCAGGAGTCAAACCAGTACCGTTTTCTTCAAAAGCCATCGCGTTATTCACTTAGCTACTTAGTTCAGATATTCACTAGCTTGTGCAATAAAGTGAAGTTATTGTTGTTTGAATCTTCCCATAGATATTTATGACTACAAGTATGCTTATAATGCTTGTGATTGAAGGCAATATTGAGGCAATCTGAACAGGATGTACATATGTCAATAAGAGGCTGGTTAACTGCAGTCCTAAACATCAATGGGAAGATTCAAACAACCGATACAAAATGAATTATACTATGTATATTGTTGACAGTTTTCGACTATTGAAATTAAAAATAAGTGTAAAGATATCTTATGATTAAAGATTGATATCAATTAAAAAGTCATTCAATCCACGTACTTAAGTCGATGCTCAATACATGATTAATATCATTTTTATAATAAATTAATGTTCATAGTCTACGCAATAAATTAATAGTTATAAAACAGTTCGAAAATTTAATGAGTAGACGAGATTTATCACAATGCAAAACATTTCTAACAATTTGATTACATGTTCACTTCTTAATATGTTCATCAAATCATAAGCAGTATGTAAACCATAAGGTCATATCTAACTGTGTTTACCAATTTACATGTAGATGGACACATACACAGAGCTGAGTAATCGTGATTTGCAGGTTAGGGTAACTGAACATATACCAAACTGTCTGAGGTGGCAAATATACTCTAATGACCCAGTAAGTACAGATGAAAAACACCCATCTTCTCCCGTCCTCAAACACAGTTAAAATATGCAACGTGACAGCTTCTTGATTTTCGAATAATTACTTTGATTATTATTGATCCACTTTTTTTCCAATTACTCAATGTTAATTTATAATCGAAATGTCATTACATAACGTATCCACACGATGAGTATTATTTCACTATTTAGTTTTGACTTTTTCATGTGTAAATACTGTAATCATTTACTATGTGATCAATGTGTTCGGAATGTATTATGCTAATATGTGTCACATACTGCTGATAAACTTCGTCTAATAAATTTAACTTGAACTCAGTGTATTTTTGTCAAATTCATGCAGTGGTGTTAAATGGACGGTTAACATTAAAACTTTTTTTATATTTGTTTAAGCAAAACCGTGTCTCAGTGGTCCAAAAGTAAACTTAAAAACAGCTGGAATTTATAGAGTTCGATGCAATAATCTTACATAAATGACATGAACGGGATATGTGCATTCTTCGAAACAGTTAGAGATGGTATGATCACGAAATCACTTAGAGGATTCTAATCTAATCATCAGGTAAAGCACTTAATCTGAAAATCAAAATATGGGAATTACCTGGAAAACCAGTACTATCAAACAAAAAAATCTAAGCTATAAAGTTCTTAAACCTCGAATCATAATTTAAGCATCCCTCAAACAAATTGATAATAATCGGATTACAGCACATACATACTATTAGTTGGAGAATACCACAACGCTGAATTAAATAGATACTGTCAACTGTCGAAATAATTCAAGCGCTATGCATTAATAACACTCATGTTGTTCGGAATCGACAAAATCTAAGATTGTAGGACACACAATACAAACTAGGCAATGAAAAAAAGATATAATCCCAAGTAAGAAATTTAATTAAAGTATCAGATAAAAATGATTTTATTAGAAATAAGAAGCTCATCACAGTGGAGTTGCTTGGGACCCACCAGTTCTAGAAAAGATTGACAGTATATAAACTAAGTAAATGCAACAAATAGAAGAAATACAGACAGCTATTGTTATCATAAATTCTCTTATTAGTTATCACGTAATATGATAGTTTAATAATAACCTGATAGAACTCTGTTAGCATCTGATAACTTAGAACATAACAATAACCTTGTTTCTGGTTAATTTTTCAATGTTTTCTACATTAAAATATGGTTAATTAAATCAAAACTGCATGAAAAGTATTGATTCACTTATTACATTCAACAAACATTAAAGTGTAGTTGTAGACACATGTTGAAAAACCTTTAGGCAAAGAAATACTTCGTTACATCCATTTTTCCAAAATTAGACTTGGTAATCATTGTATTTGAATTTGATCTATGAAGTTTATAGGAAAATCAAAGTGTAACAGATTTTAGTGGTCCTTTATCTGACTCCAATTAAATCAGACGACGATGTTATCGATGAGCTTTTCAACGGGCTCACTACTTCAATGGTCATTTACCTGACTTCAGTTGGATCGTATGAATGATCGCTATAGAATTGCATATCCTGGCTACCCTCGTATACAGTCATAGATTTAAACCACGTTAGTGAATAGCGATATAAAAATAGGTCAAATACGAGAATGAAGTTTGAATACTTGTTTTTCGTTTAATCATTGATCTGGACAGGCAATCAAGGAAACGAGGAGAAGGAAGCGGAGGAGAGGGAGCAAAATGGGACGGAATGACGCGCAGTCAAGGTGAATGAGCCAACTCGATTTAATCAAATGGGACTTGATATTTATAGTCAGACAAAAATAGACTACATATATGTGGTGGTAGGGTAATGAATTAACACACACGCTCATGTAAAAACAGTCAAGATTGATAAGAGAATAAGTGACAAGGTCAAACTGTGGCTTGAGAAAAATGAATAGATTGGTCTATTCAGAGGCTAGAATAACCTATATGGGCTTGACATAATACTAGCCACTACAAGATTTTCAGTTTATTAACCTACCAGATCCTGAAAGCCAAGACATGGGCAAATAGAACAGTTGTTGATTGGACTTTTATTTTGTATGTTATGAATTATTTAGGCAGGCTTTGAAGATAAATATTAAAAAAATATAGAAGTTATGATAGATATGATTTTCTGTAATTAACATAACGGGATATCCCCCGACTTAAGTTTCAACGCTTACAGTTTATGTCGGTATGTCACTCGATTTAATATCTTACCAATTTATCCTTTGGAATGACTGATATTACTGCGTAAAAGCATAGGTAACTGCTTTTTTAAATCAATGAGATTGCATGTTTCCATTTATACACTGACAACTGCTTTTAAGTTCTCCTAAAAACCTTCCAATTTATTGATGTCAAATAACGAAAAGTAAACTACTGAGAAGAGTAAAAGACAAAGAACTAGATAATGCGTTTTTAAGCAATACTCAAATCTCGAGTTAGAATAAGATCTTGACAGAGTTCAGTGAATTTCGATTATTCTATCATCCGAACTACTTCAGTCGATGTATATCAATCTCATCTTAATTTGAAAATATGGATGTCAAGATTTTATGGTTATTGACAGGATAAAAACAACACAGAACTAATCGTTCCCTACTAATCAAAAATCTACAAGGTAAAAAAATTAGTATTGGCTGATTCTTCCTCGGAAATAAAGCTACTTATTCAGTTATTCACAAACTATATTTGTTTATAGGTTACTTTCCCCCTTGGGTTTACAGATGAAATCATCAAACTAACCAAGCACAGATTAATAAGCTCATTTATCTATATTCGCGTAAATTCTATGGAGTAAAAGCGGATAATTCGTAAAATAAAGAGGTATATTTTTCGTTCTATCGTAATATTCATCAACAATCCGTAAAGATATTATCTTTCTTGATGGAATTTTTAATCTCCTAGTTGACAATTGGTGTAGTTGACTTGATCTACCTACTCAGATTCATAACACGTTTAGGCATTGGACAAACAACTATTGTGTTCCCTATATAAATTTCTCAACATTAGGCTACTTTTTGAGATAATATTACCAGAACGACACTTTACAAAAGCAAGATGCGAGATGCTTTGATGGGATATCGTAGAACTATCAAATTTGAAAGAAAACACCAATTAATGAATTTCAGCAAACTCTTTCGAATTTTCGGAAACATGACATGAAATCCCAAAGTATAATGTTAATAAGATAAATTTACACAAAAGTTACAAATTAAAGATGATTGATTTCAAGCGTATCATCAATAACTAGTAACCAGAACCATGTTGGAATGTGCATTTATTCTGAGTAGGTTTATCTAAACCAATCACAATGGCATATACATGTTTACCTCAAGTTATTCGAATCAAGACTAGGAGTTATCACCGTCTGATGGTAAACACATCAAGTTTATCCATGTCTTCTGTTGACTATTTATTTCGGTGTTTTCAATAGATATGTCGAGAATATTTTTTAAAATTTTTAATTCACATGGTATTGTTTGCTCATATATTCGCATTGTTATTTATGACTGCAATGGATCAGTCTCTTGTTGGCATATGTGCATCCTGTGCGGAATGCCTTGATATTGCCTTAAGTCACAAACTTTATAAGCAAGGATGAATAGTAAATGTTGACAGAAAATGAAGAAACTTCCCATAACGTTATTAAATTCTATCTACAAAAGAAGTAGGGACCAACTTCTCTAAACCATCAGAAATAAATTAGCATTCTAAAAGAAATCCATCTTGTCCAACTTGATTTGGTTACAAATAATATATATTCGATTTCGGTTAAACGGCTTAAACATATTCTGATTGATGTTTAGTTAACTAATTTATAAAAGACCAACTGAAGAAATAAGTGTGTGGTCATAAATTCGACTCATTTGTACGATTTGAAAATTCTGCTTTCTCACCAATTCCATCAAGAATTTATTGTAGCCATCAACAGACACTCATATAGATATTTTGAAAAAAATTTGTTTGTAACTCAATTTATGAAAAGAAATGTGTTTATTTTATTGATTAGGATGACGTGACTAGACAGAATCACAGGTACGCTACTTATATCGACAAATATAGGTAGTATGTAACACCA